TGGGTTTAGGGGGTAGGTATAACTAAGGAATAATAATAAGGAAACGTGTGACACTATCCTGTGTCTCGGCAACAAATAAAACCACTGTGACACTACCGTAGGACAGATGTGACTTTTATCAGGAACTTTCAGGGAACGGCCCGTGATACTAGGGTGACACTAACGTCTAGGACTTTCTTTGACTTCACGTTGTGATAACTATTTCCAATGATCAATTAAGTCTGAAACACTGTTTATGTTGTTACTAAGTTTATATAACAAATGCAGCAAACTACTAAGTTAAATAGAGGAAAACTACAACATCTATTATAGAAACTTTAGGCGTTATTAAAACATCTACGGTCTGAGTTTAGCATCCTTTACAACTCAGACCTAACAGTTTAAATACTACATTTTGTCTCTATCCCAGCCTCTCAGCCGAGGCGGCCGTGGGTATGATGTTTCCATCTCTGACTTCTCTGTGATATCTCTATCCCTGGCCTCTTAGCCGAGGAGACTGTGGGTATGACGTTCCCCTGAGCTCCAAATGATGTCTCCACCATAGCCTCTAAGCCTAGGAGGCTATGATGTTCCCCTCTCGGACCGCTCAATGATGTCTATTTCCCAGCCTCTCAGCCGAGGAGGCTACGATGTTCCCCTCTCGGGCCGCCCTATGATGACTGAGAGTAAATCAAACTCGCTCTCTCCTATATAGAAGTATAATGCGTCAGCTATTAGGGTGGAAAAATTACCATTTTTGGGTAAGTGTTTCGTATAGGCACCGTTTTACGTCAACACTATTCTAGTTAATTGTACTAATCCGTGCACAAGATGGCTGGACGATAGTACCCTACTTCCAGCAATGGATACTGACAAAACTGTCGGTAATTAAAGTCTAGGATAGTAGCAGAATAATGCAAGCTACTTCATTACCCTAGTTTTCGTCACACATCATGTAGGTAAAGAATTTCTGTATTAAACAGAACACTTTTCTTAGAACTAAAATAACCCCTGTAGTATTACAAACGGAATAGGGAATAAAATAAGGAATTCGTGTTGTCTCCGGATCACAGTGGAAAGACGGCATAACTAAGGATAAAGTTTGCCGTGGTTTCTACTGAGATTCGTTAAATGTGTGTTTTTGTGTCGTTCGTATATGATTTTGGTTATGTAGAGCTAACATAATTTTGAGACTCTAGTCCAAGTTTCGGGATTATGAAAGAGTCGAGTAACGACTAAATTGGGTAATTTAGCTTTTGAATAAAACGTTAGATTGCTAAAATGTGTGCTGTTGTGTCGCTCTTATATTATGTGTTTAGCTATGTAGCGCTAATACAATTTTGAAACTCTTAGTCCAAATTTCAAGATTATGGTAATTTAACTTTTGAATAAAAAGTGGGTTATGTTAAAATCCCATGTATTTAAATCTAGGGATCTAGGTATAGTTTTTCCTGGAAAAAACTAAAATTAACGGCTTGTCAAAATTGTGAGATTATCGCAAAGTCATTAATACCAGTTTAATAGGAGGTTAAGGTGAGAATAAGACATCTTTTTTTTTTTAGAAAAGTGGGTAGGGCATACGGTAACGTTTGCCCGTATATAACTTTGTGTCATTATATTTTGCTTTACAAACGTAATATAAACGTTAAATATATATTTGCTAAAATTTACGCTGTTTTGTGTCATTAATTAAATTTTGCTTTAAATTGTTCACATGAGGTGTTTACGAATGTATAGGTGGACATGGTATTAAATTGAACTTTTTAGTCTGGTTATTAAAAACAATAGGTATTAACAGTTGATGCATGGATTGAACAAGAGAAAGCAGAATCCAACTTTATCATAGGGCAACATTTAACAAATTAAATATAGTTATTATCAAATTGTTAACATTAATTCTAACTCTCATCACTTTCACTTTATCATATATATAACAGCATAATATACTGTTTAAATATAATGGTCGTACACAACTCTTTGGATTATTTTATTTGCAAAATAAAGTCTGATTTCTGAAATAGATATTATAGGTAAAATTAATTATATTTATGATATGTTCGTTAAAAAAGTATTAACATTAGTGTTACTTTGCTCTTATTTTTTTAACAAATTTTCACAAGTTGATTTCCTTTATTTTGTTAATGTAGAATGGGTAGAATGGTAATGAACTGCTCTTTTCATTTTCTTTGTTTTATTTGTTTCGTTTGAATTTGATTTATCAGTTTAGTTTTTGATTGTTTAATTTTTGTTAATGAAGTTGATTCTTTTAAACTTCGTTTTTATTTTTGAACTCTACTTGGTGTAGGTGTTCATCAGGTAATACCTCGACTGAGTTCAATATAGAGATTAGCCGGTTGATTTGTTGGATATAAACCTTTGAATAATAGCGCCTAACAGGCAGCTGTGTTTAATTATGTTCTCCTGATTTTGATTGTTTTTGTGTGTTTGAAGTATATGTTTGTGATATGCGCTTAGAAACACTTCACGTGTAATGAAGCGCTATATAAATCGAACAATAATAATAATAATAATAACACTGTGTTAAATTTGACGCACACGTGTGAAAGTCACGTGACTTCGGTGAAGAGTTGAATGAACCTATATGTGTAATTAAAAGCTAGGTATATTCTGATTGTCGTGTTTATAGAATATGTTCTGAGTGCATGATGTCCGGACTCATTTGCTTGGGACATAGTTCTAGATAAATTAAATGAAATGGGGTTTAGCGTCCTACTGTAGGATAAAATGGGATGTCATTCAGGGCGACCTTCGGTTATAATTTTTTCACGACTAGTGGTCGGAACTAGAAACCGAACGCGAATGGTCCGGACCATCGTCTGTTCAAAGACGCCTGCCCCCAGGGACATGGTGATGTTATTATACTCTGCTTTAAACCTCGAGCATAACCCTGAAAAAACCCTAAAAAAAACCCGTAACCCCAAAATAAGGTCTATACATCTCTCCATGGAGGATAATGAATCGCTGTGTTACATAGTTTAATAAACAAATAATACTTTCATGAAGTTATATTTGCGCGACTCAAATTAATTTCAGAGATGGCAAAATTCCTTGTAACTTGACGTTACTTTTTGCATAGCGCAAATATTGAAATAATGCGTAATTTTTAGACTAACATAGATTCAGACATAACATACGAGACAAAAGATATCTGCTCATAGAAGTAGCAACCATTTAAAATTCATTCAAGCTTTCTTAAAATCAGATACTTAACAAAAATAGATTCTTTCTACATATTCTACATTTTCGTTTCATCGACACCACCATCTTGGAACTACTCCGACCATGCCACAATAGCATGGCTCAGTATTTTCGGGCTATGGTCCGGACTAAATGAAATTCGGATTCAGTTAGTTCGACCATAGTCAAGAAATCACGATGACCGAAGGTCGCCCTGATAGTGGCCATATTTGTGTATCATCCTGGCTAAGGTAATAATATAGGAAATGTTTATGTAATGTTGGATAGTGTTTATAAAAAAACGAAATACAAAATTGTAAATAATTAGGTCAAAAGGTCACATTACTGACGGGGAAATAATAAAATAATAATGTAATTGTTTTGGCGGAATTATAAAATTGTCCATTACTAAGTTAAGGTCAAGAGGTCAAAGTTAGTTTGGAGATTTATAATTAAAGAGACACATTGCAAGGTTTATTAATAATTAAATGAAGTTTAATTTTAATTAAAAGTAAGATTTAATAATAGGATTTAGGAATAATAGAGTTAGAGTTTTAAATTAAAAATATTTAGTTCTTGGTCTGATATGGTAGCTGAAATGACCAATTTAATGTGAAACCTGAACTTTATAAATTATAAGTGATGTGTTATAGTGTTTTGAAATTAGAACAAATGAAGATTTGAGTGCATATTCATTTTTCAATCTCTATTTTTGAACTATTATAGCGAGAACTGCTCTGTATATCTAAATCTTACATAATGCCCCTTTAAATAATCTGTCTGGGTATATTAAATTATATGACATTTTAAATTACTGAATGTAGATATTTTTATTCATTGGACTGGGCTAATCTTAAATCATCTGTTTGACAATTTGTTAAAAATATAGACTATGTTTTCATTAAAATAAAATATAAAAAAAGCGCATATAGGAACTAAAAGAGCTATTTTAGAGTTGGTGTTTAATAGAAACGCATCCCTTAATCGCAATATTATAAATTGGGGAATTTGTAAGATTTAAAAAAAGTAGCCTAGTTAATTTTGGAGATTACATGTAGTTTACCTAATTTAGCTTACGCTTAGAAGGCTACCTCGGAATCCGCTAGTGGCGCGTCGAAGGGTATAGGCGTTATTGTTAATCGCACCCACAGTCTGAGGCGGACTGGCCAGATAGTCAGCTTGCCCAATGACAAGTGGACCTCTAAGGAGTGGGCCCCCTTAGAAATTAGACAACATATTTAAAATATAAATTATCAAAAAATATAAAGAAAACAAAATCGGGAAAATTCTAGTTATATCTTTTTGTTTGAAAATTTAATTTATTCATTCATTTTAAAAATTAAATGATAGAATTGTATTTGTCTCCTGCGAACCAATATATTCAGACCCAGTCCGCCAACAGCTGTCCGTACGGATTCATGTTTCACTTTTCAGAAAGATGAGAACATGGACCTTATGTCCATAGGCGCAACTATGCTATCGTTATAATTTTGATATCAATATACTAGGAAGATTGAGGTCAAACCCGGACAATTGATTAAACTGAGATATATTATAGTGTGAGTGCACGTCTAAAAAGCTATTGGATTCAAGCTCGGACACGTTTTTTTTATTAATCAGTTGTCATAGAGACAAAAACCACCGTACCAAATTATGCAAGTTGTAGAATTTCATTTGTCACACGAAACTGTAACGCTAAATGAGGTTTTGATTTTTGTTAAATAACGGAACATCAATGGATTTATTAATGCGCATTCTCTTTTACTATAATAATTGATATTAAAGGGATATAACTAACTTTAGAAAACTCTTCATAGCGGAGATCAGTTTAGTACACAAATTTCTAAAACGAGGCGTAGCGATCAACAACATGGCAGCTCTTGACGAAAATTCTAACACGGTTTTACAAGGAATCGCCCGCCATATCAATTGTTTGAGTGAAGACAACAGAAACACGAGGAAAAGGGCACTAGAGAATATCCAGAGAGACACACTCAAGAGGAACATCGCTTTAGAATCAACAGAACTCCGGTTAATTTTTAAAGAAATTCTGCCCCCTGTTCTAAAAATATTTTCTGACCCGGTTGAAAAATGTCGAGAACTCTCTACAAATGTCGTTATGTCTTTTCTCAAGATAGTTCCCGATCCCGAGGATTACCTTTCTTATATTATACCAGTCTTAGTTCAGCGCTTAGGACAACAAGAAATTGTGGAAAACTCAGAAGAACAGAGACTGCTGCTGGTTGAACTCCTGAAACAAATTGTGGAATTTTCTGGAAAAAACATAGCAATGTATTTGGATGATTGCATTTCAATACTTCAGAGAACAATTGTGGATCCCTATCCAGAAGTAAAGAAAGAAAGTTGTAGATGTGCAGGGTATTTGGCTAAGAAAATTCCTGAGCACTTTCACATGCAATCAGAATCTTTGATAAAGCCATTATTATGGTCAATAGCCCATCAACATTCTAAAGTTCGTACTATCGTTGTAGAAGCCATAGGTAAGATAAAAGTGTGTATTCTTAACTGAAAAAAAGTTTGGTGAGTTTTCTTATAACAACCGAAAGATCCATTTTGTTACATGTGACTTCAAAAAGTACTAGCTCTTTGGAGATCTTAGCGGTACAGATGTTTTAGGTTTCAATTTATTATGGGTTGTGCACAATATTTTAGTTGTTTTAAACGCATTTATCAAATTCATTCAAAATACTTTGTTCAATGCGTGATTTTTTGTTAAATTAAGAGTGACTAGGGTTATTTTGAACATGATAATACATGTATCAAAATTAAAATTATCAATTTTTAATATGAAAGAAGGCCATTTAATTACCATCAAGTTTATCGGTGTGGGAAACCAATTCATAGTCCAGTTTTCTGAAAACAAATAAGATGTCAATTCTATATATCATAAGATGAACAATATAGTGATTCATTTTTAGGTGATGTTGTGCAGTACGGTAATGGTAAAACAGTTGAACCTGTAGTTTCTCACCTGGCACAGAGATTGTTTGATCAATCTCCAGCTGTTCGGAAAGTTCTAATTAAAGTTGTTGGCTCATGGCTACTAGACTTGCCTGATAGATATTCTTTCTTTCACAAACTTATCCCACTCTTATTGACTGGTATAACAGATGAACAGCCAGAAATATCAGAATTAGCTGATTCTTATTGGCATGACACTGGTAAGAACAACAATTCAGATAGACTTTTTGGGGGGGGGGGATATGATTTTTTCATTTCAACATTCTCAGTAGCTTCTGAATTATTGGACTAGTAAAGATTTGATACTGTTGAGTTAAACTGTATTTATTTTACTGTTAATGTATAATTTTTTTTTTATATTTTTTTTTGAAGGTATAAAATATGAAAGAGAAAATGAAGATGATTTGAAAGATAAACAAGATTTTGCCAAAGAAGATCCACAACATTATCCCCCAAATGGTATGATTCTTTCATGATTCACAAAACATTTGTAATTGCGTAAGACATTAAAATTTTAGTATCTACCAGTACTCAGGAAATTTTCATTGAACTGACATACTGTAATTTTCGTAAACTGAGAATCAACACAATCTTATATCACAAGTTTAAAAAATTGTTTGCGCCAACTAATTTCTTTCATATTTTTTGTAGTTGAAAGACCAAATTTAGGATGTCGTATATTGATGCAAAGGAACTTGTCAAAGATATTACCAGGTTTAATGAAAGATATTGGTGACTGGGTTCTAGAAACAAGAATAAAATCGGCAGCTTTGCTCTATGTTTTATTACTAAATGCAGAAGAGTACATTACTCAACATATGGAAATAGTCTTGTCAGGATCATACAGGGCTTGTATGGATGAAGAACCAAAAGTAGTACGAGATGTAAGTGAATTTAATTTCTGGATTGACAGCTACTGTTGCTGTTAAATGTTTCCCTTTTTTTTTTCTTTTTTTAAAAAAAAAAAAAATAATACAGTCATTGTTTTTTGAGGCGCGCGAGGGGAGGTTTTTCTCCATCGCCTTAAAATTGAAAATCGCTCTCCATATTTGTAAATCATGGCCATGTATTTGTTTTTTTTTCTTCAAAAGAGTGTGAAAGACTCACATTCCGAGCGCCACCATGCTGTCATTGTGAACATTTTTTTGGTGTATTCGATTAGTATAATGTGATCGCACTAGCTAATAATAAAAGTCTGATGAATATGTTGCTAAAAATAGATGGCGCCTATGCACCATTGGTTAATTTAACTGAAATGAAAAGTAGAACTCTCGCGAGACGTGAGAAATTACGAGAGATGGCACGTGAAAATTTCCAATGAGAACAATTCCGGAAGAAATAGATTATATTTTGATGGAATTTTCAAGCGTTTATGATTATATTTTGAATAGGGGTTATGTTTTTAAATACAATTTATACAAGCTATATATATATTTAGAAATATCGAAAAGTATTTCTATTGGAATACCGTATGTACTGTAGTTATAGACGACAGTAGAAGTTTGACTTGACCGTACTCGAGTGCTATTATTTAGCAGAGGATGTGTATTATCATTTATAGGCTATGTAACCAAGAATGACCCCTTACACGCAGTTATTGATCTTCAGAACCATTTCCCATACAAACAACTAATCACTCTCCTTAATATCAGATCATTCTCCTTAATTTCTAAATCACTCTTCTTATCGAAACTGGGAGAGCTTTTTTAGGGGAGCGATTTTTTCAATTTGTTCATTAAGGGGAGCTTTTTTCGGCTCTCCTCTAAAATACAAAAAACGACTGATAATACCAGTATCCAGCAATGTCACTAACTTTTCAATTAACAGGAAATTTTGCTAAAGTAAGGGGCAGCAAATGTTTAGGGCCTCAGGCCAGGTGCATTTCGGGTCAATATTTTAAATGACAGAAAGTTTTTTTTAAAACATTTTGTGAAAATATACATAAAAAATCTATCCAAAAAAACTTTAATAATCCAAATAAGTGCTTTTCAGTCATATCTGAGTAAAGTCTTAAGATAAGCCTTATTATAGAATTGCACGTCTACCAATTTTAAAACTGAAATCCGTGAATATTAGTTTATATTTTTAATCTTCATGATACCAGATAAAAGGCAGGCTGCATTTATTCGGAATTAGCAAATTTCAGTCTGCAAAACCGATAAATCCTGTTTTCTAATTATGGGTGTAATCGTGTGAATGGAAATCCCTGGAAACGTGACATCAGAGTTTTATTTTCCCCGCAAGTGCCTCCCACATAAACAGTAATAGCGCTTATATTTCTATAACTTTTGAGTCCGACTATTTTCGTATATTGAGATTGATATCAAAACATTATAATACAACCGCTAGTAATATATTTAAACGAAAAAGTAATCTAAAATCGCAGATTGAAAGTCAGCTAAATTTCCGTCAATCACTCAATGCCAATGGCTTCCGATTTCACGCTCAAGTCACGTAGCATGAAACGTTTTCTGTTCACGGGAGAACTGTCAAAATCGTATAGACGTTTACTACTAGCCATGAGGAAAAATGACAGTAAGGGAATGGACCTTGTACAGTCAGTACAGGTCTCTATTTTATTAGCTACGCTCATGTACTTTGCTATTACTACTCCTTGATTACAATATACTTTTATTAACCCACAAGCATACTACCGGAATAAGAATCATGAGGTTGACTGGTTAGTTGATACGTCTGTGTGCTTTGCGTTTAGGAATTAAATTAGTTTCAATTAATATAATGCCAAATTATTTTATTAAAATTAAATTGCTGATTTTTTTTAGCTGAAAAGTAGCCGGAAATTGGCCTAATGTAAACGGCGAAATTTGTCGGTTGCCGGCTTCTAATGACATCCATGCCAGTATCTGATGTGTTTGGGGTTAAAGGCTAAAATGAAATGCAAGATTTTGTGCAAAGTAATTAAAGTAACAGAATAGTTGATTTTATGCATTTACTATAAAAATTTAAGATATGATACATAAGTTTCCATTGAGTTTCCATTGACAATTTCTTCTTGAATATTTAGACCATTTAAAATGGATAGCTTTTTACTGCTTACCAGCATGCTTAGGAATGGAGACCAGAAAATTGCCGGCACCGCTTTTCAACACAAAAATGAATATTTAAAAATTGAGATATTCTCTTTAAATAAATATTCCTTGCTTGTATTGTGTCATTTCTGCTGTAGTTACATATTAAATAGCGGACGCATTATATGGTGGGCCCATTTTATTGCTAATAGAATGTAAAGAAGAATTTAAAAAAAACAACAGATATCTATGTCTGCATGTGATAGAGACGTCCGGTTGATAGGTCTCCCATGAGTATAGCTGACTAGAAGCTGGTTTTGAAAATGCAGTTTGTGTTTACTAGGAGGAGGATGGGAAGAGGCAACGAGATGTCAAATTAACATAGCTTTTTTTTTGCCAGGCACATATTTATATTGCCCAATAATTATGATACTGTGGCTATGTAATTGTATAAGCTGTAAATACTAACATATTAATAAAAGCTAAAACCCATCATAATAGTAATTTAGCATTGTGCCGCTTTGGAGACTAATATATTTTTTATAGTTTATATTCTGTTTTTCTAGGTTTTTCGATCATGTGAATTAATTGGTTATTTTGTATCACCTGAAGTATGGTGTAAAATTGTACTAAATAATGTCAGAGCATCTCAATCCTCAGGAAGTTTAATGGTTTTAGCTGCTGTGATAAGAGGCTCTGAAAAGGAAAAGTTAAAACCTTATTTATCAAAGATCTGTGAAACCATAACTTCATCTGATGTTTGTCAATCTATTCAGGTAATTATATTATACAAGTACTAATATCAAATTGCTAGTTAGCTTGAACTGTGTATTGGTATTAGGAAGAGTTGTACTATGTAATTTGAGTTTAATTGTGATTTCTAAATATTCCTATATTAAATAATATACTATTCAAAAAAAGTAGGGGATATTTGATTTTTAAGTGTTATTAAAGTCACCTAATGAAACTGACGAAGAAACAAATGACAAAATGAAATGAAGTTCACATTCATCGATTTATTCCAAATGATCGTTAGACTAAGTAAGGCACAGACTGACCATTATAAGGGTAAAATGATACCCGGGGTCAAACAGCAAAGTTACCACAGCATCACAACCAAGTCAGTAACGGGTAAATCCTCCTCTGTTTGCCAAACAAGCATTGATCCGACGTGGCATACTCCTAATGAGACGTCTAAGGTCATTTTGGTCCAGATTGTCCCATTCCTGTTGCAACGCAGCAGCAAGTTCTTGGACATTGGCAGGACGTTGTTGACGTTGACGTAACCTCTGTCCAAGCATGTCCCAGACATGCTCGATGGGGGAGAGGTCGGGACTCAGTGCTGGCCAAGGTAATGTGGTGATGTTCTGTTGTTGGAGGTAACCTGTAACGATCCTGGCCCTGTGACATCTTGCGTTGTCATCTTGGAAGATGAAACGGCGGCCATGACGTCGTGCGAACGGCACAACATGGACTGCCAAGATGTTGTCCCGGTAGTACTGGCCTGTAACACGCCCTGCAACAACATGTAAAGCCGTTCTTCCGGCAACAGTGATGCCTCCCCACACCATAACAGAACCACCCCCAAATCGATCATGTCTGATGACGTTAACGTCTTGGAAGCGCTCGTTTCGACGACGCCACAACCTCCTACGTCTGTCCAAAAAATCAACAGTGAACCTTGACTCATCTGAAAACATCACATTGCTCCAGCGTCGATTATCCCAGTGTTGACGATCCCTACACCAACGACGTCTTGCCTGAATGTGATGATCTCTCAAACAAGGGATCACGCGAGGACGTCGGGCGCGAAGGTGACCCCTATGCAGTCGATTCCGAATCGTCTGGCCACTCACTCTCACACCAGTGTCTGTTTGAAGACGAGCGCTGATCTGATTTGCTGTGATGACACGATTTCTCAAGGCCAAGGTACGGATAAATCGATCCTGGGCTTGAGTTGTCGCCCTTGGTCGACCTGAGCGTGGTCTGTCCTGTACAGATTGTGTATCACGGTATCTGGACCATAGCCTGCTTATGACAGACTGAGAAACATTCATCGTCCGCGCCAAAACCGCCTGTGTTGTGCCGATCTGTAGCATGCCAAGGGCACGTAACCTTTCATTTTGGGTAAGCCGACGCATATCAAAATTTGTTTTCTGGTCACTAAAACAATTAAACTGATGTTTCCACCCTGGAATTCAATGCCACAATGACTGTAACATTCAAAGTCAGAGTCGTGCAAATCTTGGGTTGGACCCCCATGATGATCCCAAGCATCACCTGCATTCCATGCGGTAGCTATTGGTGCGTTTGAGCGTCACATGTAACTGGAAATGTTTCTTCTGTTAGGTTCTATAGTGACTTTTTTCGTAGTCATTTGCATATTTTAGTATTATGCCCCCAAAATCAAATATCCCCTACTTTTTTTGAATAGTATATTATCTTTTGGTAGCAGTCAGAATATATTATCTTTTGTCCTACACTGTATTTCATGTACACTTGTAGATATAAACCAAGGTTCATTGTAGCTTCAATTTGACTGAAATATTTATTGTTTATTTTTGTTTGTGAATAAGAAATGTGTTTTTGTTGAATATATTAAATGCTGTTTATATTCAGTAAAAAGGACCCTTGTTTTACAGCCTCAAGTACAGCTCCAGTTAATAGCATGTGTAGATTCTATTGGGTTAATAATGGCTGATGAAACATCATCTGTAGCTCTACAACTATTTACAGTTTTACTGACTGCCCTAGCATTGGCTCAAGATCAGAATGTGAAAGACAAGGTACTTATTCTAATATTTAGATTCTACTTTCATTTTTCTTTTTTTTTTCTTTTTTGGAGAAATATTTAATTGAGATTTTTAAGCATAAAATCTGACTTTTCTTTCTATCTACAGTATCTTGAATGGGACTTCTTTCTGTCTTTAAGCTAAAACATTCAGTTTCTTTAATGTACCACTTTGATTTTAACACTTATATGTTGATTCTAACATTGAGATGTTGATGGCTTATTTGTTTTTTGTAAGGTTAATTCATCTTTAGAACAACTAGCAACAGTTCATGGCTTAGCATCTAAACAACATCTGTTTGAATTGTACACAAAATCTGTCATAAAACAGTTTGATGATAATTATTTCTCCTGGACAAATCATTCAATGGAACGTCAGATATTTGATACTTTATTGATAGAAGCTGGTAAGTTAGTAGAACATGTTATAAATATTATCCCTACTTTTAGTCATATTTCAGATCAGATAACTTATTAAATATTTTGATATTGTGGTATTTGATAGCATGTATCTTCAGCAGAAAATTATGGCCAAATGTCATAAATATAAACTAGGTTATACCTATTTACGTAGACTAGTCATCTATAAATGTATTATTAATATATTTTGTTCCTGATTTATGTTCCAAAATTTTAGTCACATGAAATGAGGTAGGACACCTAGTGTTATGTAAAATTATGCTGATTGAATGTCAATATAACAGTGACTACCGTTGTAATAGACTGTAAAACCATAAAGAGATTATGATCAGATGATGTCAGCTGTCACTCAGACAACTAGCGTGTGATCGTGATCTGACCGTTTGGTCCACACATAGAAATTACATTTTGCTTCCATACTACCCCAGAGGTTAACGACAGAAGTATTTTCAATATAATTATTAATGTGTCTGTCATTATTCAGACAGTTGGAAATTATCCTATTTAATTCAAAGTATAAAGACATTTTGTTACATTTCTTCCATCTTCATCACAGTTTTAGTCTAAGGGTGTTTTTTAGGTGATGTTATTGGAGATCTGTTAGAAGATATCATACCTATTCTGGTCACCAGTCTTAAACCAGAAAAAGACCCTGAGATGCGGTTAAAGTTTTTTACACTTCTGTCACGTTTAGTAATGAATGCTGCCAACACACTGGATTCTAAGAAGAAATTTAGCGGTTTTGCTGTATCTGTTGTTAAAGATATGGTGATGCCGAACTGTGTATGGAGAGCTGGTAGAACTGCGGGTGCTATAAGAACTACTGCTGTCTCATGTCTGTGGGCCTTATTAAAAAGCCATGTACTTAGTAAAGAAAAGGTATGCATTGTATTCAATTTCAAAAGAAATATTACTAGGGCTGCAACGATTCATCAATGAATCGATGAACCGCAATGTTTTAAAAATCCACAATGCAAGATACAATCAATGGCCGTATCGCTATTCGTTATACAAATAATAATTTCACAAAAATAGATTGATATTCCTTTAAATGCGTTAATAAGTCCATGAGCAAAATAACTTTTTTACTTTCAGACACATGAAGTAGCTTATTATAGCTATTTCGTCAAAATTAAAATATCAGTCTGGTTAAGCAAGTCGTGCTGGAAATTAAGTTGCGTTCAAATTACACACTTGAATAATATGCGGAAAAAACAACATATTAATATATATAGGCCTATATACATCCGTAATATGCAATTTGTGATAATATTACTGTATAAGAATGGCGATTTGTACATACTGCATACATTGATCAGCACATTTTCAATGTATATTAATATTTGATATTAAAATCTTTGTAACGTTATTTCCTTTGCTGTTCCGTAATCTATTACTGACCTGACAACGACAAAACTGTTCATTGACTGAAATTGTTGTGGCAATACAAGCCAGCCAGCTGAAATTTTTTTCATAATGAATTCACCAAATGCAAGTCGCACGATCGACAAAAGCAATATTGAAATCAAAATCCCCCATACCAAGTATATAAGTCACAAGTAAAGTATGGGAGTATTTAGGATTTCCCGTTAAGCATGACAGCAATGAAATCTGGTCAGTTGACCGAGAAAACTCCACATTTAAAGTAAATCATAAAAGTAGGTCGTCGAGTTTTCACAGTGAAAGACTCAAAATTTAACAGCATTTTTAAAATTTATTTCCTATATCGCGATTAATGCGATATTAATCGTATTGTAGATTATAAATCGTGATGCGCATCATATCGTGGCCTGGCGTATTGTTGCAGCCCTAAATATTACCTTTTCTTTCTTTGTTTATTATTAAGAATTAATGTGGTTATACCCATATTCTATTGAGTTTTAAAAATTATTTAAAGATGCATTATGATACAAAAGTTGCCAGCATTACATCAAACTATTTCAAAGTGTGGCACATTTGACATTGCTGATGGAAAAACTAAAGCAACTTAAGAATTTTGTTGTATAATCCTGTGATGATAGCAAGTTTACACACACTAATATTTTTGTCTGTAATGATTTTGATTTAAGTATACCTTTAAAAGGGCAAAACTGAATATAATCGAGTTTCAGTATTTTCGTCCCTTTAACACTAGCAGGATGAAATCTCTTAAAGTGTCCATACAGTTAAAGATACCCTTTTGGCTCAGTAAGTAAAATGTTGGAATGCTAACCTGAAGGTCCCATGTTCGACCCCTGTGCTCAGCGAGAAAGTTTGTCAGGATTTTCTGGCACGGTTTACAGGACAGAGGCAGAGGACCTGGCAAGGGGCAACGTATAGTCATTTGAATTGGATTAAAATCCGAGGTCCGATGCACACATGGACGTGCAGGTAAAAGAAGTTTAAATAATCCATGACAGTTGAATTCAATATACGTAGGCTGTGGCACTGCTGTTAGCTCAAAATTTCCTTCATAATCATATTTTGCATATGCTCGTCTTTATTAGCCAAGTCAGTGCAGAACAGTAGGACATTAAACCCCATTTTATTTTTATTAATAAATCCATATTATTAGGCATGAATCTATATTATCAGGCATAACTTATAATGCATTTACAAACCATTCTATGAGAGGAAGTACCTGATTGGCTGTAGAATGTCAGACGAAAGTAACAGTCCAAACGACTGGTTAGAAGTTTGATACTTTAAATTAGTATTCTAGATTTATATATTTATCTACCCATAATTAATATTAAAACACAACAATTACCCGTACATATAATAAGAATATCTTATGTTATAAATGTGTCTAATGATAAAAAAGAATGATTTTATATACATGTATATATAAATTTTAAACATTATCAAAAAAAACCCTTTATCTCTTTTAGATGGAGCCCATTGTAGAAAATCTACTAACTCAAGTTATGACCTTGATGGAAGATGACAATAAAAGTACACGTTTGATAGCTTGTCGTGTTTTAACCAGATTATTCGAACTGATGGGTGGAACTTTAAATCAAGATCGTCTACATAACATCTACCCAGAATTATTGAAAAGACTGGACGACAGTAGTGATGAAATTCGTGTTGTTGTTGCCAAGACATTTTTAGCTTATTTTGATTGTTTTGGTGAAGGTTATGATCCTGATTTATATAAAGCTCATTTAGAAGCTATATTTAAAGGATTATTAGTTCATTTAGATGATTCAGAGAAAAAGATACAAGAAGCCATTTTAGGTGTGTATAATGGTTCTTATCCAGCTTTTTATTTTTTTTTATTAAACTCAAAATTAACGTGACAATTTTTTTCAGTTATTTTTGGGAAGAGACAAAATCATGCCTGTCAGTGACTTCAACCCAAAAATAGCTTTTTTCACAAAAGACATCATTTGACTAAGGCATACTTTATGACAGTTAACTGTGGAATAGAATAGCAAAACAATAGTTGCTTATTGTCCTTTGACAGGTACAGGTTTCTTATTGATGTATTATTTATATTACATACAGTTTATCTTTTTTTACATTTTCAGAAGTTTTAAAAAGAGCTGGACAGCTCCACCCTGCTATGCTAAAACAAGAAGTAGAATCAGTTAAACATAAACATCGTACAGGACAGTATTGTGATATCCTATTAAAAGATATTCAGGTTCAATAACATATTTATCAACGTCTCCATCCATTATCAGCATTTTCCTTGTAACAGTTAATTATTAAATTACAGTATGCTCTCATGAATAGCTGTATTATACATAACTGTATATATCATATTATCGAGCCTAAATATTTGTGTATATCATACATATTCTTTTTGTGTATTTCATACATGTTATATTTGTGTTTATCATACATGTTATATTTGTGTTTATCATACATATTCTGTTTGAGTATTTCATACAAGTTATATTTGACATGATGTAAATGTACATCACATTATATCCATGTACAATGTATTGTTTCATTTGTGTAATTGTTTTTTGTTTATAATAATTTATTTGTACATTAAATATAGTATACTTTACACTGAAAAAATGTTTGTCAACATTAAACAGATATTTTTGGAAAAGCGTATAAGTGTTCTTTAAACATACATTATGCAAGAGCTAAATCTGTCTATTGCAGGTCTTTCTTTAGGCATGAAATGTTATTTAAATTAACGGGTTAAGTAAACCTAACAAAATTTTACAGAGTTTATATAACACTGGGTTAAATATAAACATTGCCACCGAACTACTCCATAACACTAAGAAATAGGAGCATGCAAAACTAAACTAATTGCAATTTGTAGCAGAAATTTTAGAGTTAACACTGAAAGTTAGAATTCAAAATTCCTGAATAAAGGGATAATAAGATGAAACTCTGTGCTGATTTTCTGTATATAGTGCTGTCTGTGTCAGTCGGTCCGACAACAGCATTTGCTTGTTACCATGATAGAGGCTACAGATTTTGATGAATTTTTTTTTCAATTTGGTGTGATTCTCGCCATTGATTTTCAGCATTCTACAACTTTTTGTTCCAAAGTTTTTTTCCCTTTTTCTGATAGGAAAATTTCTTGTTAATGCAGTAGAGGCCAAGAGTTTTTGAAGCTTTTTGTTCAAACTTGCTATGAAGCATTGGCACTCCATAGAGGCAACAGTTTTTAAAGTGGTTTTCTTTTTCAAACTTGGTATAAAACATCGGCATCATGAGCATATGATCCTTATCGATTTTCAGCTTTCTGACACTGTAATTTCTCGTTAATGTGATAGAGGCTACAGTTTTTGAAGCTTTTTGTTCAAACTTGCTATGAAGCATTGGCCCTCCATAGAGGCAACAGTTTTTAAAGTGGTTTTCTTTTTCAAACTTGGTATAAAACATCGGCATCATGAGCATATGATCCTTATCGATTTTCAGCTTTCTGACAATGTAATTTCTGGTTAACGCGATAGAGGCTAGATTATTTTTAGGGATTTTTTCTTACGTAGTATGAGGCATAGGCACCCTGAGAAGATGATCCCTATCGATTTTCAGCTTTCAACGATTTTCTGTTTTGGAGTTACTGACATCATGATTTGTCATTAACGCGATAGAGGCTAGAGTTTTTGAGGGTTTTTTTTTTCAAATTTGATGTGACGCATTAATTTGGCACCACGAGAAGATGATCCATATCGATTTTCAGCTTTATCCAATTTTCCGATTTGAAGTTAATGCCCATGTCATTCTGATATCCTAATTTCTGGTTAATGCTATAGAGGCTAGAGTTTTTGATGGATCATTTTCAAATAAGGTGTGAAGCATCTTTCTTGGATTTTCTGTATTGGAGTTACTGCCCTTGCGTGGTTTTGTTAACGCAATAGCAGATAGAGGTTTGAAGGTGTTTTTTTTTCAGCGTTACTGCCCTAGTCATTCTGACATCTCAATTCCTTCTTAACACGATAGAGGCTAGAGTTTTCGACACCGTGAGAAGATGATCTCTTGATTTTCAGCTTTCTCCGATAAGCTGCTGCTGTGTGGGCATATTTACATGAACTATGATGGAAATTTTGCCTGTCAAGTGTTCTTTTACGTGCACACCAATGTGTACTCGGGGCCTCAACAAGACGCCATCCTTGCCAGGCTCGACAATGGTGTAAATAGACATATTAGTTACACAACCTTAACTCAAATACAGAGGGTGTCTGAGGTTGAGTTATGGCATGTAGTGGGTGTAACATCAAACTTTCCTGCAATTTATGAACACTTCATTCATCACATCACTGGCGTAATCAGAACTAGCAATTGTGAAATAAAAACTAACAGTAATCTCAATTCTCAAAATAAAAATTCTTTAATTGGGGGCTAGGACTAAGTTAACTTGAGTAGTGGTCATCATTATCTATCTTTTGTCAGAATATAGAATTGGGCACGATCTGCTTTAAGGTAAAGGCTTTATCTGTCAAAATCATCTGCTCCTTCCCTCATGTTATTATCAAGATTGAATCTTACTAGAATAATCATGATGTACTTCGTGACATCAAGATAAGGGGTTGCATGTAGGCACAGAATATTCCCCAATCTTATTTGAATCTTTATTCTAAATAAAATATTGTTTACAAAAAAAAAAAAAATCAGATTCAAGATTTTATCAAATAATTTTTTTTATTAACTGTGTGGAATCTAACAATTAACAATCCACAAGACTAAGGAAGAATTTTTAAAAATCTTGAGTTGGGAAATGACAAGTAAATATTTAAAATATACAGATAATATCACAGTAAAAAACATATTTATAAAAATGAACTAATATAATAAATATTATCTAAATTTCCCTCGAAAGAGATCTAATATGTAAACTGACCGATTGTAAATAGGACTACACGTTAATAAAATACCAATATAATATTAAAATAGATGTTGATTTGTAATCACAATCTTCCTATGTTCTCTATTAACAAAACTTTTATTAATGAAGTATTTGTATAGGGACTACAGATTGATATATCTAGTAAGCGATGTATTTACTGGGGGTAATATGGTCTGCATTTAATGGGACAGTCATTGATGTCAAATCAAAATATTGAGAAGATCAGAATTTTCTAAATGGGATTACATAATCCATTAATGAATTTCATTCTTCAGTTGTATAAGTGATTTGATAATCTTGGCAATCACTTACCAAGATAATTTTGGCATGTATAAATGTATACTCATTTCATTTCATATAAAATTTTTTGGACGTTTGACCACCCCCACAATGGAAACTGAAAGTTTGTATTTATTCAATAAAGCATATAAAAGCTTCAGATAGTTGTATACAGATCCCTTAATAACAGATCCAAACCAAGATAAATAGAGTTATGATTTCAATATTTCATTAATTCTACTGTAAGATAAATAAAGAAATATGTGCAATATGCAAATATATAAGGAAAGATTCTTTTGCTAAAAAGTTCATATTAATTTACTTAGAAATTGATACATTTCCAAAGATTCTGAAATTATCAATATAAACACTAAATTCATATTTTGTCAAATGAACAAAGGATTATTTTCTAATTTCAAGAATGATCTATTAATTTAGATATATGGACAAATATTAGTTGACTGGTTTATTCAAGATATGAATTTTATCTTGTTTAATCAATTAATGTATCACTTGAAATAACTGAATATATATGTCTGTAAAATGACTTCATCGTACAGCACTTTTAGGTCGACTGGACAATAATGGCGTTGATGTTGCTGAAAAATATCAATAATACATATCAAATATTGATTTATTAAATTGACCATTTGAAAAATTTCATTTCTTGACTCCCCAGATTATAGCGAGTGGTAAATTGGTTACAGCAGAAATCAATCGTATTCACATACTGTATTGTACAGGGAAGACAGCTACCGAACAAACTCAAGATTGTATTACAGGAGTATGAACTGGTGGGCTAATTACAACATTAGGTGACCCTTTCTCCAAAATTAGAAATGTGTGGATTGTTATTTTAGAAATACATTAATAGGGTGAGTGAAATAAAATAAAAATCAGTTTGATATATAAATACTTTCCATGTTAGTATTCATTATAAATAGCCCCAGTTAAATTAACAAGCCAACAGTGAGGCTGATGTCCCCCGCCGAAATCCCCAAATAAATAGATGACACATATTAATTTTATTTTTTTCAAAAGTATCGAGCAATCTAACTACACACTAAGTTTCATCACTCTCTATCAGATAGAATCAAGATTATCTTTTTCCAAAGCATCAACCAATCAAATTGCTTATCGCTCCTTAGCCCAGGCAGAAAATTCGCACAATCGAACTAATTAATGAAATGTCTTAACCAGCATAAGATTGGATTAATTTCATAAAGCACTGCGAGGTATAGCTTGATCATAGCTTTAACTATTGTTATGTTGACTTGAAATTTTGTACTTTGTATCGTTTATCTGATTAGATATTAACCTACCTCTGGCACTGTTTATTTGTTTATCCTGGTTATGTGCTTTATACAAGGCTCTGTAATATAAAAACAGTATTTCATTAATTTATCCAGCATTTCTGAATATCAGTACATGTTCATCTATATTTTCTAAAATTTGGTTCAACAAGGGCCACAAGCCAACAGTGAGGCTGATGCCTCCCACCAAAATCCCGAAATAAATAGAGGACACATTAATTAATTGCACGTTTAATGTATCTTTTTCAAAAGTATCGAGCAATCAAACTGATTATCAACTATACACTAAGTTTCACCAAAGTCAAAGAAATTGCTTTGCTCTGCTTAGCTTTAGCAGAAAATGTTAATCGTTGAACTCACTCAAGACATTCACCTAATGAACATCAACATCCAGTTTAAACATTCTACCCCAATTAAAAGCAGAGTTGTCATGTTCGAGAGTCTTTGACCAATTAAATTGCTTATAGCTCCTTAGTCTAAGCAAAAATTATCATCATACTTAGTCAAGGTAATGATATAATGAATCTATACTCGGGAGTTTCATAGCTCACACTTAATTATAACCAAAGTTATCGTGCATAAAAGCCTCAACCAATCAAATTACTTATCTCTGCTTACTGTAAGCAGACAATGTTCATCATTGAACTCCAAGGCATTCACCGAATGAATGCCGTCACCAAGTTTAAACATTCTACCTCAATTAGAAGAAGAATTATTGTGTATCAAAGTATCGACCAATCAAATTGCTTATCACTCTGTTTACCCTCGGTAGAAATACACCAAGTATCTCAATTAAAAGGAGAGTTATTGTGACCAAAAAAGTGTGACGGACAGACAGGCAGACAAACAAACCCATTTTAATAGTCCGCTGCTTTCTTCGAAAGGCTGACAGTCCCGAGGGGGGTGGGGGGTCTCCCCCCAGGAAATTTTGAAAATTGACAACCGCAAACCCATTTTCCAAGCATTTCAGACCAATCTTGATACAATTAGATAACAGAATGACCTGAGAGCTCTATCATTAGATGAATTTGAGAATTCCCTGCAGTGTCAAAAACAAAAACCTTTTATTCTCCGTGATGAAAATAATGCAAATTATAATATAAAACGTCCACCATGACACTATTTTGCCTGATCTCCAGGCAGAAATCGAAAGTGAAACTGAAATCCAAACCCGGAAGTGATTCATTTTTCGCGAAAAACTCAAAACTGGCTTATGACTTATGAAGAACAAAGTAGAGGTTAAAAGATGAATTACACGGTTCTTGGTATAAAGTTCTTTCCTTGTAGTACACTTCTTTTTTTGTGTGTTTGTCAGTCATTTTTTCCTATCTTTTCTTTCTCCTGCCCTGTGTCCTGATCTCTCCTCCCTTTTTTCTTTTCTTCCCTAACCCTCTCTT